GATATGAGAAACCTAACTAAGTCTGAATGAAAAATTATAAGAGTTAAACGCAAAAGTATATTGGTTACACCAATTCTTTACATATAGTAACTAAAATTGTCAAGTATTAGTAACTATTTTGCCTCAATTTGTATTCAAAAAATCGATTTTTTTTTACCAGTCCTGGTCCTGGTCTTGTGAAGTGCAAGACCAAGACCGATTTTGGGCAACACTACATATTGTTATTTAAATTATTGTATATATTGCTAAAATATTTATTAAGTTAGTTTTTGGTCAGATATTTATTTTTTAATTTGGATTTGTTCACTATTGTTATTTCAAGGGGACTTTGTCCAAGAATAAAGTTTATGTTCTATTCATATTCCTGTTTGTACCTAGAATTTACATTTACTCATAACAAATATAAGTTCTATATACATATTTTGTCTTTGAATGAAATTTAGTTTGAATTGTTTGGAATCGTATTATTTCAAAGATTTAAAAAGAAATTGAATTACTTCTATTGAATTTTTATTTATTCAGAGAATTGTAATTTTTAAGAATGATACGATCCATACATAGGCGCTAGGACGGGGGAACTTGCTGTGTACTAAATACATTCTGCCTCCCTCCTCCCCCCCCCCAATATTATGAAGGCCAGATTGCCTTCCAATATCTCCACTTACTTACAAAAAAACTCATAAAAAAGTTCGGCTACTCCTTTATGTATGCAATTCTAACCTTCCCAATATATCATAAGTGACGTCGCCTAAGTATCCATAACAAAAAAGTTATGCTATTCGTCCCCTCCAAAAGTTGGAATCAAGCTACGCCTATGCAGTTAACTGAATGATAAATCACCACGTACTGCCTGGTTCGTACACTCAAGGTGAAGGCTTCCAACCTACTCAAAGGCTATTCTTAATATAAGCGGACCCTACACAATCAGTCATGAATGACAGTCACAAGACTGAAAAGGATTGCTTCAATCATGTTTAGCCCTACACGTATCAATGAGATTGACGTCATTTTAGCTCAGTTGACGTTGAGATGAAAAGGCAGCATGGATCTGGTGCATTCTCCATTAAAAATAATATGGTTCATTAAAAAACTTATTATTATTAATGGACAATGGCTATGTCCCCTCCCCCAATAAAACTAATGGTGACAATATCATTTCTCCAATAATTTAAAGTAAAAAAAATATTACGAATAACTAACATGAATGAGTAAAATATATAAACTAAAATCGATTAAAAAACATAGGAAACGTCGACTGGTTGGCTAGGTTAACGCCTAGAAGTACGTTCATAAGTATTTTATCACGGCCTAAATATTTCTATTATTATATACAGAGATAATTATACATAGCAATATATTCTAGGAATTTTTTTTTGGTTTGATATTGTGCAAGCAGTAATGCGGTTGAGTGAGATGCGCTGGAGATCTTGAGTGAATGATTTTTTTTTTTTTTTTTTAGGTATTTTATAGAAGCATATGTGTAAAAACTCTATATACAATATCAACAAAAAAGTGTATACTTATTGATTTATTCGGAAATCTAATTTTACCACCTCCGTAACTTTGTTTCCAGTTTCTTTTGTTGAAACATGTTATATAGGTAAATTTAAAGGGCATCGAGAAGAAGACTTAAGCAAAGTTTCATTGAAATTGGTAATTCGTTTAGCCGCTACAGTCTATAGCAACACAGGTTTTTCGGCCGCCATATTTAAAGGGAAACGGCGGATAGTAATGTCTATGTAGGAGGATCATCCTCGGATGACCTCTGATTTTAAATCCAAATTTGATAAAAATTGGTCGAGTAGTCTCGGAGAAATTGCGTGGACGGCAGACGGCCAAAAAAAGTTGTACTCGATTTTCGAATTCTACGTATCCTGAAACGTAAAATCTCAAATTTTGAGAGGGGTCAAGTTTTCGAATTTTTCGGTCTATTACAATGGTTCATTATTGAGAATAACAAACCAAAACTACGGTGCGTGCTTATGACCACCAAGATAGAACTGAAGACATCGACAAGGCGGGATTAATAATATCAAATATAATTTCTTTTTTGTTCTATATTCAAATCGTTATGATTTTCTTCAACCATCTTCAGCAACAGAACACATTTAAGTATCTATACATTCGTATACAATGAGATATCAATTGCAAAAAAGACAATTATGCAATATAGATATTTGTGACGTGAAAACTTCTTTAGGCGCGTTTTGCACTTTTTTTGTAGAGAGTGAATTAGATTGATCCGTCAGATCCCCAATATGTAACGCTCAGGGTAAAGTCGGCTTGAGTCGACTCATTGAAGTGTTTTTGCATATGAATTAAAATATATCTAAAACTAAAAATCGGACCTACGTACTGTAAGCGGAGAAAATGTTCATATATATTCATTCTCTTTGTAATGTGATATTATTCAAAATTGTATCTCAACACGACGCTGTGTTAGAGCTGCGAAAAAGGAAAAAAATAATGTCAAAACCAAATTATAACGAGTTATATTGAAGATATGGATTAAAATATCTCACAAACTAAAAATTGGACCTGCATACTGTAAGCAAGGGAATTTTTCATCCTCTTTTTAACAGGCTATTATTCAAAACTATAACATAACGAGAAGCCGTGTAACAGAGGCGAAAAGAAAAAAATAGTGTCGAAAACCAAATGGTAACGATTTTTATGAAGGTTAGTGTTGCCCGAATGCGAGACCGAGACGAGTCTTAGTCTCGCAAAATCAGTCTTGGTCATGGTCTTGGTCTTGCGCAAGAGTCTCGCAACAGTCTTGCAGTTACTTATTAGCTTTTTACTATGGAGATATTACTGTATTTTTTTAGATGGCAGAAGCCTAACTAAACCCGAATGAAAAATTATATGAGTTAAATAAAAAAGTATATAGGTTATACCAATTATTTCCATATGGTAACTAAGATTGCAAGTATTAGTAACTATTTTGAATTAATTTGTATTCAAAAAATCGATTTTTTTACTAGTCCTGGTCTTGCTCTTGCTACAGTTAGGCGGTCTTGGTCTTGGTCTTGCAAAGTGTTAGTGTTGCCAAGACCGATTTCGGGCAACACTAATAAAGGTATGGATTAAAATATCCCAAAAACTAAAAATCGGACTTGCATACTGGAAAAAAAGGGAAATGGTCAGCATTTTATCTTATTTATAATGACCTATTATTTATAATTTATATTTCATATCATTAATCTCGCCTGGTTGATGTTTTCACTTCTATCGTATGATCTAAAGCACACACCTTAGTTGTTTTTTTTTTTAAATAAAAGTTCTGTAACGGAAGGCTAGTAATTTGTCGAAACACTATCGTGTTCAACAGAAAACTGAACAGAAATACTTAATTTTTCATTTCTTATTTTGACGACTAATTAAAAATAAATAATTATATTACCTACTGTAATTATTCACGGTATTTAAATTTTGAGATATTTTAATTCAAAAGTTCATAGTCATTATTATTTGTTGTTTTTCTTGGCGCTTTTTCTCTTTCTATTTCGATTCTCTAACCCGGCGTCACATCAAAATACAATTTTGAATGATACACAGCTCATTACAAAGAGGATGAAAAGCGTAACATTTCTCTCTCTTACAGAATGCAGGTTCGATTTTTAGAATCTGAAATATTTTAATCCAAATGCACTAATTAGTCGACTCGAACCGACTTTACCAGAATGAGCGTTACGGCTTACTCTCATTCACTGACCCAAAAGAAGTGCTAAGTGCTCCTAAAGAAGTTTTCACTGCAATAAAAAATTGTAGTGGCCTCCATTAACACTGCCTAACCTTTCTGTGGCCTCTGTGATACAAAGGCTATAGTACTATACTATAGTAAATAGAATTTACATTAAAAACAAAATATTATTAGACTGTATAAGAAATTCGAAAATACAAAATCTAGAGCGAGTTAGACACAATCTAATTAAGACTATGGACACAAGCATTTCATTGCAATAGACTAAAGGTCGCAGAGGGGTCTGCGTCAATGAAAGAGCTTACACAACGGCTAAATCAACCAGTGCCACCTACACCAATTGTCTACTGCTCAATGACCTTACCATTTTAGTTGAACAATCTATAAACAACTTGATTCGAGTTCGGGACAGATATTGGAATTTTTTGACAAAACGACGTCTTATGCTTAATTATCAACAAGTAATCCACAACGCCAATTACATTACAAAACTATATATATATATATATATATATATATATATATATATATATATATATATATATATTTTTTTTTTTAGCGAAAATTCTTTATTGATACATATTAGGAACTGGCAATAGTGGTATATGAGTAGGTCATTCACACTATGTACAATAAATAAAAATAAATAAACAGCAAAACAATAATAGGGTGTATACAAAAAATAATACGGGTTTATCAAAGATTTCAAAGGACTGTAAATATATTAATCCTATTTAATACGTACCATACTTAATAATCTCTTTAGATGATTCTCGAAGTCCGACTTCTTAAAAAAACAACCTCAGTTTAGTTATTTGTTTCAAAGAAGAAACATGATAGTGTCCTACGAAATTCTCATAATTTCAAGGCATTACTGAGAAAAAATAAATCATAGTCCCGGAAGCAACCCGTGAAATTATCAAATATGAAGGAAGAGGTGTCCTTGACCAGCGCACTGCGCGGCGTTGGTTTGGAAAAATTTAGCAGTGGATATACGACGTTAGAAAGAAGAGGGGCTCCGGGCGACCATTAATGGATATTGATAAGGTTCTGCAGGGAGCTGTTGATTCAAATCCGTTCACAAGTACTCGCATTTTTTTTTTTTTTATACATTCTATAAGCATTAAGTAAATGTAGTAAAAGTAAATGTATATAAAGTAAAAAAAAAAGAAAAGAAACTCAACTAAACAAATCAAAATAACTACTTAAATACGCACCTACTTTTATACATTATTTACAAAATCCATTCACACACTCGTGAAAGGAAAGGCAGTACTCTAGAAGATCCCAGCGCCTCTCACTCAGCCGCATTACTGGTATTAAGGACCAGTAGAGGCTGAGCAGACAAAAGTATAAAAAAAAAAAAAAAAATACGCAAACTGAAACTATTGCTCAAAGAATACAGACCATCTAAATTTTTCTCTAATCTTGAACTTTTTGTTTATTTCATGGGTTGAAACTTTTAAGGAACCTTTTAAAAAGTTCCATTTTAACAGTTTCGGTGAAACTTTTTAGGAAAAAAGTTCTTATAATAAAAGTTTTAAGGATTTTGTAATAAAGTTCTAGGTTTATGGTAAACAAATAACTGGTATTTATTTAAGTTCTGTCACTTGAGCAAAGAGGTTGTCTAAAATGGGTTTGTCACTGCCTCGTTCAAACGATTCTTTTTGTGTTAAGTCAATATATGATTTCTGTTTATCATTAATTTTCCTTATTATTATTATGTATCAGTATTTATCATGTTATTCAGTGACAAATCCATTGGTAATCTCTCACTAGCAGTAGTTTCTCTATTTGTACTAATATTTTGGCTACTAAGACTTGCATTTTGTGTTCAGGAATTGTAACTTGGATTAACGATTTGGTAATAAAGGAAAGCGTTCAGAGGAATCGTGTATTTCTATCTCACTCACCCTATTATCTATCACTAAACAACAAAGACAAATTTTAAAAACTCACATTTAGGGCAACTACATCTGAGATGAGATCGGCCCTCTTTTCTTCTTCATTCTCTGGTTCCTCGTCAGTGGTGTCGTCGACAACAGTCTGCTCTGCAACAACAGCCTCTTCATCCTGCTTTACTTGGTCGTTAAGCAGGGTGCCAAACTTTTCGAAGAAACCCCCGTCGAACTCCTGCAGCCTATAAAAAAAAAGTCAAAAATAATAATTTCAGGAGGAAAGCACACTACACAAATTGGAGCACCATCACACACACACACACACATACATACAAAAGCATAAAACCATTCTACTTCACATTCGTATTGCATTCAGATATCTCAAGTGTAGCCATCGTTTGTGGATATATTTCAGCTAATTATTGATCTTTCTTTAAGGAACAAAGACGCACATCTCGGATAGTTAGGGTACGGGAATGTCGTTGCAGGTTATGCAGCACATATCGATAACGCTATGAAGAAAGCTTTGAATACAGGAATTAAAAAAGAGAGGCAAAATCATTAAAGTGGGTCACTTTGCTCTGTAAGGGATACAATTGTTCAAATGAAATAAAATGTTCCTAGTTGATGTATGTGTCTCGCAAATGATAGTGTCAAGGCGCGAAAGAACCAGAAGGGAAAGAGAAGAATCATAGGCGCAAACTTCGGGAGGAGGGGGAGGATGGCGATCCCTCCCCCCCAATAAAAATACAGAGGGAGTGAGAATATCGTCGCACCAGTCTCCCAAATATTTCGAAGAACAATAATAAAATCAAAATTTATAAGAATTAATTTACATGAATGATAAAATAGGTAAAAGAAAATCGGAAAAGCCGATCAGATGTGGAAGCTGAGGACTAGACGTCGATACACAACCTATGTAAACACAAACGTAGATACCTCGTCCTGTGATCCTATTATTGAAATTTTTTATTTTATATTCAAAGATAATTATATATAGATACACATCCAAGGATTTTATGGTTTATTCATGTGCACTCTTCCATTATTACATGAAGATTTTATCACATTTCCCGCGGCAAATTTGAAACATCGGAAAATGTAGAGTTTACCCCACTGCCTTACCCTTTAAATAAAAATAAAAATAAGGATATGTAATATATTCAATTTCTTTGTTAACATATTTTCAAATATACCCATAACCCACACGCAAAAAAATATAAACATATATGTAATTTTATTTTTATATATAGTGTTATATCGTTCGTTTTATAATAATTATGCTGATTAAACCAATTACCAATCATAATTTTTATGCCTAGTATAAACTTCCGAATCTTTTTTACTTTCACTTACCTATATATAAAATATATAGTAAAGGAAAGTATCGCGAAAATTTTTTAATCTAATTTTTTAACGGAAATACACGTTTTGAGGTCCCTTGATTCAAAAACCCCAAAAAACAAGTTTCGCAAAATGGTCTCTGTGTGTGTGTGTTAACAGTCTAGCCCAAAAACGAAAAGTTGTACGAAAGTGAAATTGCATGTTTAACTTTTTCATATGCTAGATGTTACCGTAACTTTTTCGTCAAAATCGGCTAACCGGAAGTGGCAATTTATATCACACACAAGCCTAAACACATTTTTACAATTTTCTCGAGACGGCTATAACGATTTTGATAAAATTCATTATATCAGAATTAAATTAAGCAGTTTTAAACAAAATGTAGTTTTTATTCTGATTGGTGTTCTCTAACAGGGTTTAAATGACTGATTATCAATATTAGGTTCCTCTAAAGTACCTTTAATTTTTTTTATTTGAAAAAAATGACCATTTCTCATTAATTTCTAATATAAAAGATAGTTAAATATATAATATGAAAAAAGTTGATAACTAACTAAAGGAGAAATACAAGATCGTAACGGAGAATAGTTATAATTGGGGAACCAAAGGAATACAAGCGCATCCGAGCTCACCCGAAAGATTAGAACACGCTTCCATACGTAACATGAGCTTAATATAATACGGACTCTAACAATATTATATAAATATACAAATGCGGTTTTCATAAATGCTATTGTTGGTATTATTTAATATATAATTGTATAGATTACAATGATATAAATATTAAAATTTGTATATATTAGGGTACTTAAACCAATAAAAATACCCACAATGAAATATAAATAAATAAAACTATAATTTTTACTTTCTCTTTCCCTTTGTCTGAATATACTTATTTTTGCAAAGAAGGGGATGGTAAGTGAAAGTTGGGTGACAGACCGCACTAGATTTTTTTTTTTGGGGGGGGGGGGAAGGGAGGGGTGTCTTGCCCTTCCCCAACCAGAATGAAAAGTCTGTGCCTATGAGAATACCTTTCGATCAGTGGGTGCATGTTTTAACTAAAATACGAAATAAAAAAAAAAAACAATTCTTTGAAGCAGATATCACTATTTTTAATCAAAGGGTACATGACTTGTTCTTCCATTCGTATTCGAAATGTAGTCGATGTAAAATCTATAAAAATGGTACATTCCCTCCTCCCTCTCCCAATTTTAATTCCCAAATTTAAACGTTAAACATACGTTCAGATTTAAAAATATATCTGGTACAATGTTTGCAGCACAGTATTATGTTGTACCTGCAATGTATGCATCTATTTCCAACTCTCTTCCCTCGAACCCATAAGTAGATTTATGTATCATAATAGTACAACTTACTTTATATTTGGACGGTAAGCACGAAGTTTGTATTTGTTATTATGTCTATTAGTTCGGACCCTGGGGCTGTAAGTTTCCGATCGAGGTAATCTCAGCTGAGTCCAATCTTAAAATAGCCGAATCGTTCCTGTTAGTCCCTTAGCTTAGCCTTGGACCATTTACCTCAAAGTTATACTCATCGTCGAGCCAAGGAATTTCACATGATATAAATAAGGTTTGAAATTTTACTGAACATATCAAATTCATCCCCTTTTAATACATACAGGAAGAGTGATTATTGTTAGTTAACAAAAAAATCCTTAATTTTTAAAACAAATCGGTATTCTTATAGATTAGATATCAAAGAGTATTTCAAATTCAATTCCATCCTATAATTAGTTTTAAACAATTTTACATCACTCCATTCATCTTTGAGCATTCACACCTTGTATGGAATTGAGTGAAGGAGAAAATTTTATTGGTACAAATCAGAAAGAAAAAGTCAGATCGAATAGGAAACAAAAAAAAAAACTGTATAAGTATTATACGGATCAACTCTAACTGAGAAAAGAAATTTAACTTCCGAAACAAGGGAGAGAAAGACCTCCATCTATGAAAATATCAAATGAATCTGCTGTAATAATTCCTCAGTAACAAGGCATGTAAGAATCATTTCAGTTACTGTTATTATTATTTTTTCTCTTCGGCTCAAGACTTCCACCGAAGTCCTATACTGCTCCTATTGTTATATTTAAGTATAGTGGAGATATAGACGCACATTATTATTATTATTTATTTTTAAAAATCTATTTTGGATTCTTCAATAAATGTGCACAATGACAAATGGTATCCCTATCTAGATCAGTCAGCCCTTGGAGGAAAGCGCTATTGATTTGGATGAGGGATATTTATCATATATCATTATTGCATTTCAAAATAATGTGCAAAGGGTCCTCGATGGAGTTACATGTCGAACATTTATCGTTTTTCCAACTCTAATTAATTTCAAGCCGCGATTTGTCCAACCATGGTTAATTCTTAATCTTGTAAGTAAGACTATTTCTTTTCTGCTCAACTTAACACCAGTGTTAGAGAACCATTGGCGTAGAGAGACGTTGGGTTGGATAGTGAAATGATCTTTACCTTTCGAACTTGACTCCCAGGCATACCTATCCTGCAATTCACTAATAAAGAGTTTTTTTCTCCCTTCTATAAATTTCTTGTAAAGGCAGTTTCGCAGTTTCCGCCCTTCCATAACCCCCATTTGCTATCATATCAGCTTGTTCATTCCCATACAAACCCACATGACGTGAAACCCGTTGAACCTTAAATTTTGTATTTGTTGGACGATGAACTTCTTCTTTTATATTATTTATTAGGAACGATGAAATATGTTGTCGATCTATGTTTCTGAGCGAATTGCATACGGAAGTTAGAATCAGTTAGAATTACTACTTTTTACTAATAATATTTTCTGTTGGCTATTTCGAAAGCTTCAACGACACCGTATAATTCAGCACTGTATATGCTGAACTTTGTAGGAAGGTTTATGGATGTATCCTGGTTATATTGAACATCATATACCCCGACTGAAACTTTATTTCTATCTTAAGATGAGTCTGTATACATCTTTTGATAATTTTTATATTTTTCAGACATTATTTCGAGTGTTTTTTATTTTAGAACTGATGGTGGATAGTGTATTTTGGACAAATCTGATTAGAAAAGCTTGGGATTGGTTTTTATGATAATTTGTGATTTTGGTATGGAAGTACATAGTTCGAGTGGTACGGGATCGATGAAAAGTTTGTTAAATAAATGTTTTATTTCTTGGACTATGATTCTTACTCTTGGGATGTGTAAGGTGCCGTTTCGAATAGCTTGATTTAGCGGGTGGGAACTATTTGAGGCCACTTTTAAAAGGATACTGTTATTTTTAAGCTGCTGCTATACTTTATTACCATAAAGTTTTATTGCAAAAAAATGTATTCAAAATGCATACACATACCGGAAGATGGGGTAACTTTGGGACTGGGTGGGTAACTTTGGGAAAGCGGATATAATTTAGTTTGAGGTGATTTCGTGGTGGATTCACTATGTTGGTTCGGTCATGGACAGCGCATGTACTGCAATATTATCATGCGGCGTACTACACTTGAGGCACAAGCGAAAGTTTCAAGAAAACAAGAATTTTGAAAAAAAGCAATGGAAATAAATAAAACCTAACTGCACAAGGAGTGTAGTGAACTAGGGTTCTCGAACTGCCGCAAGGTAGCAGAACAATACATACCTATACAAAGCACGTTTTTGCAGACTGAACCAACATAGTGTATCCACCACAGAATAACCACAAACTAAATTTTACCCGCTGTCCTAAAGTTCCCCACCCAGTCCCAAAGTCATCCCATGTTACGGCATTTAAAATTTTTTACACTAAAATAATAATTAAAAAAAAATAGAACTTGTAGGTAAAATGCGTGAGCGCGCACATGTGGCGGGGTCTGGTAAAAGGAACTGTTTGTTTATTTCTTGTAAGCAAAGAATCATTTTTAGCCGATAAACCTCAACGAGCAACTTTTGACCAAATTCCTGCAGTCTTCTAAAATTAAATTGTATTTCAAAGTTTCTTTAACTTTTCACGTAAGATTTTTGTTTAAGTTAGTTAGATTTATATTTGCTTGAGAGCCTTGCAGGACAAGAAACGAATGCAGATGTTAGAGTAGTTATGATTTTTTTACATATGTTATTTAGTTTCAAAGCGGAATTAAAAATATAGTTCCGAAACCGGCAAAACACCTGAAGAATTTTTTAACGGTAAATATAAAAAATTTTCATTCATTGCATAATATCTTGTGTGTCATTTACAACACAAAAAGCAGAGTAAGTATTTGATATAATTTGAGCCTTAATAATGTTAGTTTCCAAAAGACAATTTTTCAAAATTTTCAAATACTTTTCAAATTTTGTTTGAGAATAAAAGTGAAATCTCTGTTTTGGCAGATGTGAAAAATATCTGCTTCCACAAATATGTCCACTACTTTTAAGCTAGTTTAACTAATTTCACTTCGGGCGTTAATAAATGTCTGTAAATAATATAATGTTAAAATCGCATACAAATGTTAAGATGATATTTAATATCAAATTTTATATGATAGCCTATTTTTATACTATATAAAAGTAATAAAAATAGCTAAAATCAATTATATTTCGCTAATTAATTAAACTAGTAATTAGTTAATAATCAAGAATTATAAAATGAAATCAATATATATTATTAATAAAATGAGTTATTAATACGATGACTGTCGAATAAACAAAAGATTACATTAACAAAATATTTTGGATATCAACACATGTAATACACATGTAATGTAGTATCAACACATACGGATGTGTTAAATGGAATTTTCTGTTATCATAACATTATGTCCTTTGGCTTATGAATATTATATTATTTCCCTCCAACAGTGTTTTTAAATTTATTCTTTATACAATTTTTAATTTTTAAATAACCATAAATTCTTTCAGAATCTTATTAGCAGAATTTCAATTTAATTTTTAATGAAAATGAGGCATGTAGTGTTGATTCGCCGGTTTTTAAACATTGGCCTTTTTATAAATTAGTAGAATATTTTAAGCCGTGGAATATTGTTGGGCTAATAAAAATAATTTATTAACAAATTACAATAACATTTTAAAAAAATTACCACCAAAAACGATATTTCATATAATGTAACCATATATAATTAACTCATAAACAATGGAATCTCGTAAATCTGAACTTCGATAGTCTGAACATTGCAGTGATCCGAACTCATGAAAGATAAATAAAATAAAATAAAATAAATAAATAAAATAAAAGTTAATAAATTTATTAATAAGATAGTCAATGGGAGTTGTATTTTAAGTTTTAGTGAGATGAAAAAAGGGACACAGAGACCAACAAACATAAAATTGTTAACAAAAGACTCCCACCTACCAAATTGATATTTGCGGAATTTATTAGAACATGCACGCACAGGTCTTCTTCCTGTAATTATTTTACGTAATTTCCTCATCGCTTTTGATAAAAACAGAAGATAGTACTCCTGCGATAGTGAAGAGAAAAAAACAGTGAGTAGTCAAAATCCAACAACAATATAATATAATCAATTTAATTACTAACTTAAACTGAATAACCCTATGTCCTCTTGTCCTACAGTATCCTTTAATAATACCCCACTTATCTCTGTTGAACAAATTCGATACCTTGGACTCCACTTAGACAAACGTCTAACTTGGAATCCTCATACCAGACTGAAACGACAAGAAACAGCTCGACGTTTCCCACTACTCCAGCACTTACTAGACAAACGCTCTAACCTCCCAGTCAATTACAAAAGACTCATATACATGACTACAATAAGACCTATTTGGACTTACGGAGTTGAGCTATGGGGCTCCACTAAGCCATCGAATTCCTCTCGTATCCAATCCTTACAATCCAAAATCCTTTGTAAAATCCTCACTGCTCCTTACTTTGTCACAAACAAAATCATCCATAACGACCTTAATGTTCCTTATGTTTCTGACCTGGCCCAATCCAGATACCTATCCTTCCATAACAAACTTCAGAACCATCCAAACCCTCTCGTTTCTAACCTTGCTTCCTCTTCGATCCCTGACAACCCTCAGAGGCGTCTGAAAAGAAGATGACCTCGAGATCTCCTTTTGTAAATACATTTTTAGAGTGCTACCAATGGGTAGTTACTCAACAAGTGATTTCATGCTATTTTATTCCTTTGTTCACATTTACTGAATGTATTTTTACTTGTAATACAGTTGTAAATATCATCAATAAAAAAAAAAATCTAAAAAAAAACCCTGAATAACCGTAGCGATCTGGAATCAGATCATTAAAGTAAGCCGGAACAGGACCAATAAAGAAATTGTTATAGTAACTGGTCAATCTATATATCATTGAGGCGATTAAGAAGGGAAAGAAATGTAGGAGAATTTGCAGTAATCCGCCAGAAAGACTTGAGATGATAATGAATGCCTCAATAGTAGATATAAGACCACCTGAGGCCAAAAACCAGATTGATCGATTGAATAAGCAAAAATAGAGCTGCAAGCAAAAAAACTGGAAAACAATAACAGTCCGGGAGTCCGTACCAAAAAAAGGTGTCATATTTTATACTAAGCTTTGTCCTTATAATTTGATCATATCCACGGGCCTGATGAGAAAAATGCACGTCTGCCAGTATATAGCCGCTGGAATACAAAATGGCGGCCATGTGAAGATAGATAGAGACCCTACATAGGTTCTAAGCGTATATATATAAAGGGGCTTATAGATATATATAAAGCTATCAACCCTTTAAATTTATAATGTTTACAGTCTTAAGACATGAAATAAAAGTCAGTTACCCTATACCCGTCAATTTCAATACGAAAAATTGAGTTTACAATTTAAATAGTTTATTTTTTTCGATTTTTCGCTTATATCAGTGAAACTATGCGTTCTATGTATAATAATGTATGTGTGAAATTAAACCTGACAAAATTTTCAACAGAAATGGTTGTATTAGTTTTTTTTCGCTATGTTCCACAATTTTCGTGATATTCGTCCCAGTAATTCACTAATATTGAAAAAACTATAGAAATAGCATTGTAATTTTTTAGACAGGAGAAACCTAACTAAGCCAGAATGAGAAATTAGGAGAGTTAAATGCAAACGAATATTGCTTATACCAATTCTTTACACATAGTAACTAAAATTGTCAAGTATTAGTAACTATTTTGCCTTATTTTATTAAAAAAATCGATTTTCTTTTACCAGTCTTGGTATTGGTCTTGCAACAGTTAGTCGGTCTTGCAATGTGCAAGACCAAGACCGATTTTGGGCAACACTATAGGAAAGGAACCAATGTTATGAAGGCTGTTTCTCCTCCCTCCTGTGATATATAAAAAAATAAGTTCTACATATTCAATTGTAGTTTAGATATATTCAAGTATATATAATAAGTAAAATAAAAATAATTAAAATCCCTAAAACTATATAAACATATAAAAAATAAATTTTAAATATTCAATATTATATTTTTCCTTTTCAAAATAATTATGTTGAATTTTTACAAATAAAAAAAATGTCCGCCATTTTATTTTTAGTCCATCGCCACCCCAATCAAAATCGAAAGTCTGCGCTTAATCATTGGACCTTGAGCATTGGAAGCTCAACGCCCTACCACTCAGTTACCCCTATAATATAATAAT